TTATCTTTAAAAAAACTCTTTTAAAACTTGAAATTACAATATCTAAGTCACAAAAACAAAACCCTTATAAGTTTGCCAGCCCAAAAAGATTTGTTGAAATATGAAAACAAAAAGTATATTAATTTTCCAAACTAAACAAACAAATTATTTTGGACAGTCAGCAATCGGGACACACTCTCCGGCGGTGCCACTCTTGAACACGTGACCCTCCGAGCAAAGACAAAAATTGCCAAAGTAGAGGCGACGATTGCAGGCCAGCGATCCACGATTGGCATAGTTTTGGCAGTTGAGCACACAGTTCGGATCACCTCGGCTGGTGATGGGCGTCGAGTTGGCCATACAGTCTACAAACAAAAAGTATTTAGTTAATGAAATATTTAGAAACATTGAAGTTTTAAACTACAAACCCGGGGCAGTTGTTGAAGATGACTGTGGTCTGGCGCAGGCGACGGCGACCAGAACGAGCACCAAAACAAAAGAGGCAAATTTTGACATGATAAGTTTTTTAGTAACGGTTTGAATAGAGGAAACTGTATTCACACTTGGCAACCCTTTTTTGAATGGTGTCGTTTTATAGCTGTTTCTCTTTGTTTTCTTCACTGTTAAAGTTGCCTTTGACAAGCTGCAAGTGTCTTATGCTGGCAAAACTGGACACCTTCGTTTTTTTTACTTTAGCAGCTGTTGTTGCTAGCCACGATTGAAATGTCTTTCTTTTTGTTTTTGATATTTTTAGCAATTTGTTGCCAAGTGAAGTAAGTGCGAAAAAAGAGAAAAAAGAAAAAGTTGATTTTAATCAGCAAATAACACTTTTTATGTTTGCAAGTGTGTGTGTTTGTTTTAGCGGTCAATAACAAGGTAATAAAATATCCTGGCAGTTGCCTTTTTGCATATTTTTTATTCAGTTTTCTATTTAAAAAATGAATGTTTATTTTTTGTTGTAATTTGTAAAACAATTTATTACTATCTAATGTTTTTCAAATATTTAAAACAAAATGTACTCTAAAACCACAAAAATGGAATATTTACCACAAATATTTATTTTTTAGTATAATTTGCATATTGAAATAACAAGACCACTTTGAAACAAAGCAAGTGCTAAAGTATTGTATTTTGCTTTTAAACATTTGCACAATTTTGTATTTGAAATGTTACCCATTTTAACTAATGCCGAATCATAGTTTAAAAATTCCTAAAATAAATTCCCTTCTTAACAGTCCTCCACTTTGACACAGTCGTAGTCCTTGTTGGTTCGGTAGATGAAGCCCTCCTTGCAGACGCACCTTGCGCCAATGAAGAGACTGCGAGGACAAGCTCGAACAAGATCAAAGCGATTTTCACAACTCAGCAGACAGGATCGATGCGGATGGCTGCCCTTGACGACGGTGGCATTTGAGGTACAAACTGAAAAAAGAAAGTTAAATTAAGCTACTGCCAACAATAGTGTATAAAGTATTTTTACTTGGCGGAGGACCGGTGAAGGTGTCCACTAGCTGCTGCTTTGGCGTCTCATCATTGCCAAAACAAACATTACTGTTTGCCACTAAGCAAACGCAGACAATCGCAACTGTTGAGCAAACAGTGAAAATGTGTTTGAACATTTTTTCAAGTGGAAAAGTAATATTCTGAAGATTACACAAAAATGACCTTCTCTTTTATCTAGTAGCAAACTAGCAGTCTAGTCAATGTCCCTAGATTAATGCACTTTTTTTAGCTGCTAAACTGGTTCAGCACCAGTTGACTGTATGATAGCCAGTTTTTTGTTTTTCTGTGTTTTCATAAGTTTTACATAATACAAAGTTTTTTGACCTCTAAAAAATAAAAACCAGTAAAAAACTGGTTTGACAGTTTTCTTCTCTTTTCTCACTTACAATTTTAAAACCGAAATGAAAACTTAAATTAATTAAAAGATAAAAAACAGATTTTAATTTAAATTAAACAAGTTGTGAAAAACGGTGGTAATGACCTTAAAACTAATATTTTAAAGCATTTTTAATGATAACATTTTTTAATAAAATTCTGACGACAAGCTCATTTACAAAATTGATAATAATTTGACAAAAATAAAAATAATTTTTTCAAGTTTGAAACATGCCTTTCAACTGCTAAAAGAATATTTAAATTTTTGTTTTTTCTAAAAAAATTAAATTTATTTTGCGTACATTGACAAACTTTTATTTCAAGTGCGTTCACAACAGTTTGCGTACAATTCATTTAACTTTTTTAAATATTGATTTTTGTTGTTGTATTAATTAGGCACTTTTTTACTGTTAAAGAACTCTTCAAGTAACTTAAAATTAAAATTACCGGAATTTTAATTACAACCTAGTTTTACAAAGGTTTTGTAAAGTACACATAAAATTTTGCAAATTCAAATGTTACTACTATTGCAACAGAAAGGTTACAGCTAAAAAACGGTCAATGCCATTTTAGCTGTAACCTTAAATGTACTAAATTAAAAACATTGCTATCATATGATAAAAGTAAAATTTATATTCTCAAATAAATTCTCTTAATAAAAACTAAACTTTTTACGTAGCAAAATATAACTAAATTGAATAAAAATGTTTTTTTTCAAAATCAATCTTCTCTACATTCTCAAACTAATCTGGTACTGGTCACTTAAATGCTACCTTATTTGCGACATTCGCTTCTACTACCGTTACTACCGTCTGCTCGATGCAAACGTCGCCGGAAACAAATTGGCTCGACTTTTGCTGAACCTTTTTCAGCTGATAATCACCGTGCAAACCATTCATATTACCTTATCAACGCTCTTCAGAGATCAACTCTCCGAGACGGACAATGTCCTCTACGGTTCACTGCTGTACTTTGAGCAGGCCAGCCTCAACTCCAATCAAACCCTGTGGATGGAAGCGTTCAATCTGCTCGCCCTGCTTCTCCTGCGAATCATCTACTACCAGCACACTGGAATTACTAATCAGCTGATGCGAGCAACGCTACTCGAATTGGATCAAAGTTTCTGGATCTACCCGCAGATAAAGAGAAACGCCAGCAAAACTAGAAGCTCAAAATGGTTGTTTAGACTTTTGGAATGCCTTTCCTTTGTAGAGCTTCCGACTAACCAGACGAAGCTTGTCCGTTTTGCCGCCGTTTTCATTCTAAACACCTTTCACTCGATTCACTACTTTGCAATACTGTACGCCGCCACCGTACAGTACCGAAGTTACTTTTTACTTCGAGACTCCGGACTTTTCAACTGTAAGCCTCAAAACACTATTAACTTCGGCTGGCTGAAGTATTCCGTTTTTCAGCTTAAATTCGCCTTTTACGCCATCTACTCGCTGGTCTTTCTTCACGTCTTCATCACCGTGGGCACCTTCGCCCTGCTGACCAACTGGATCGCCTGGGTGAAACTTCATCAGATGAACCGCTACGTCGCCTCCTTTGCACCGGAAGTCTTCACCGGTGAGCGGGTGACTCGATGTCGGCGCCTCTCGGCGGGGTACCTCGTTCAGCTGGCGGATGCAAATCGCATTTTTGGGCGAATCTTCTTCATGTTCCTCCTTCTGGCGGCGCCCTCCAACTCGCACATGATCATGATGGTGCTGCTGACGAGGGCGGAGCAGGACCGCTCCTCGGCGTTGATCTTCAAAAGCTCCACGATGATAGTGGCCGCCGATCAGCTGGTGGTCATCTTTGGAGTGCACTGGGCGGCGGCAAAGATGGCCCTGCTGCTTCACCGACCGGTTAGACATCTGATGAAGGTGGCACTTTTTAGCAGGCGCTTTCAAGGTAACCTTCAAATGCGTTTGAGTTTGGCGCATTACATTGAGGCCTTTCATACGGTCAATCGGTACTGTGTCACCTATGGGCAGTATGGAGCGATCACTTTTTCCTCTTATGGAAAGGTAGTGTATCTGGGTAATTTGATTGTTTGTTGACAATTGATAAAGTTTTTGTTTTTTGCTAAATTTAGTGCATGTTCTTCTACATCAAGTTTCTCTTCTTTGCCTACAAGCTGTTCACCGTGTCAAAAGTGGTTCAAGAAAATTCTAAACAATAAAGTGATTTTATGTTTTTGTGAATTGAATAAAATTAAATAAATTACAAATCAAACAATTAATAAAACAATGACAGTGATACTTGAACGTTTTATAAAACAAAAAACACTTTGTAGTTCCAGACTGCAAAATGTCAGAGTGAGAAAGACAAATAACCTGACAAACAAATTAAATTTACAATGAAACTGATTTGTAGGGAATCAGTATTCGCTTCAATATCCACCGTGATCACCGCCGTAGCCGTGATGATCATCATGGTGGTACTCCTCGTGGTGATACTCCGGCATGTGGTGATGATGGTGGTGATGCTGTTCATGGTGATAGTGGTGCTTTTTGTGGCAGTTGTTCATGATGATAACATTGCCTTTGCCTTTTTTACCTAGAATAGGAAAAAATGGGTAAGTTTGTCAGTCAAACAAATCAGTTCATCGTTCATCAACAGAACTTACCTGTCTTCATGACCAGTCCCGGTCCGCAACCATGACCACCACCTCCATGACCTCCATAGCCGCCATGACCTCCACCGCCTCCATGTCCGCCGAGAATAATGACATCGTGGCCCTTACCACCGGCAAGGGCAAAGTTCACAAACGCTAAAACAGTTGCAAGCATCAGCGAAAAAATGATAAGTTTGTTCATTTTTTTCTTTCTGATTGTTTGTGAGACAGCTGAAACAAAACTAAAAAACTCAAAACAAAATAACACTGATACTTTGCACCTGAACTTGAGCGCTTTTATACTCAAAAAAGAAGTAGCCAACTACTAGCACAGCTCCTGTTGAACTCTAAACTTGAGTTTTCTCTTTACCATTTACCGTTTTCTTAACCTGTCATCTAAAATGGCCTTGTTGTTGTCTTTCACTATCAAGTACAACTTTGGTGTTTTATGCTATTTATTTATTGCTTCCGCAATCATAAACACACCAAAAACAACAGCAGTTACGTCAGGTTCACATCAACTTGACAGTAAAGCAACAGCAATGTTTTAGGCATAAATAAGCTTCATTATGAACTCCTGTTTAATAACACTGAAAACGTTACTGCCGCTGCGGTTATCACTGTTGTTGTTTCTCTGTTGCTGTTATTGTTTGCACTCATAAAAAACACCTCTTTTTCAAAGTTAATTGCTGCATATAACTTGTTGCGGTAACGGGTGCAAACGGTTATGGCCGCCACGATAAAAGAACAAATCAGTAGTAGTTTACCTTTATGCAGCTAAACAAAGTGTAAAGTTAAGTAAGCAATTGATAACACTCAAATTAGTGTCGCTGTTTAGCACAGTTAATTAGCCTGATAATTAAGTCATTTGCAGTGGGAGAACTTGTGATATTATTGTGTGATTTTGTTCAAAGTGCAAGTTTTGGTTAGAAAGTACTTTTTTCTTGTTTTCACTTGTTTCATTAGAGCGTGAAAAGGGAGATTGCACTTGCACTCTTGTTTTGCTTTCCAACTTTTCACTCATCATCATCATCATTTGGAGATATTATACAATCACAACCAGCGATCCTAATTTGCAAATTTTCACGCTTCACCAAACATGGCTGTTGTTGCTGCTCACCACAAAGGAGAAACATTAGAAACAACAATAGTACTGGAAAGTAAAAGCAATGATAAAATTGCACAATTGCTAAATCAAAAACATTTTATAAAAACTTACAAACGCGTTAGAAAATACACCTAAATAAAATAAGTTAAATTATTTAATCGGCACATTTGTTTCTAAGATTTAAAAAAACTGCTGTTGTTAATCAAAACACTTACCTTCATAATCGCTTTTTAGTTTTTAATCAATCAAACTGTCTCAATAATAAACTGAAATAAAAAGAGAATGAAAAACAGAAGATATACTACAAATTCAGCCATCAGCAAGTTCAAAACAAAACAAAACAAACGCTTACGTCTTCTGCGACCAGTCAGCACCGCTGTTTTTGCGACCAAAACAGCAAACAATCACAACAACAAACACTTAAATGTGTTTCTGCACAATAAAAAACACCGTCGGCAAATAAAAATTTCAACTTTTGATTCTGCAAATCAATAAACAATGTTTTCAAGTTTCAGCTAGACACATCATTTAAATAAACTTTTATTTTTCATTTTCATTTTTTTGTAGCTTTTTCTGTTGTGCTAGTGCTGTGTCGCGCTGTGAGTGCCAAACTTTTAAAGTTTTTCTCTATGTGAGTGTTTTTGCTTTGTTTTTCACTTTTGTGATAATTCTAACTAACCAATATTCTCCTTTTTTGTTTGCAAAACGTTTGCATCGTATCACTGCAAATGTTTAATTTTTTAAAATTTAAAACTTTGTTTAATAAACTTTTTATCTCACACAGGTAACAAGAAGAAGAGGAAGGAAAAAAAGAGAATGTCACTTTTAAATCAACTACTAAAAAGAGCTTAATTCTAAACAGAAAAAGTAGGTAGTATTAAGCGCGTTGATAAAGGAAAACAACAGTTGTGGTAGTAGTAGTAGTATTGGTGGTAGATAACGAACATAAAGATTTCCTTATCAAAAGTAGAATAGAGCTAAAGGCTTTTAAAGGCAGGTTTAGGCCGATGAAGTTTGCTCCTGGCAGTGGCCAATGATCGTGTTGATCTGGCCTTTGACGTCATTCAGCAGTGTTTTGATTTGATCGCTGCTGCTGCCGACGCTCTTTAGCACTTTGTCCACCTCAGTCAACAGGTCGGTCAGCCGGGACTGCACCAGTCTGAGGACGTTCTTCAGTGCCGCCTGCAGACTGCCAATCACCTCCGCTGTAGTCCCGGATACCTCACCGGTCAAATCGCCGCTCAGCTTGGCGAGCGTCTTCACCAGCGACTGCACCGCCGTGTCAAGCGCTCCCAGCAGCGATTTGACGAGGCTCAACGCCGCCGTACTGCTCTGCTGCACCAACTTATTAACGGTGTCCAGCAGCAGTTTCACCACCTGTTCGAAGAGCCCCTCCACGCTGGAGATGACGCCCTTCAGTGCGGTGGCCAGGCTGTCAGTAAGGGCGGTGCCCGTCTTCAACAGCAAGTCTACAATACCGGAGATTAGCTGATCGAGCGTGGAGAACAGCATTTGGAAGGTGGAAGTGAGCGTCTCGCCAATGCTGGACAGCACACTGCTGCCGGCGCCGATGAAGGCGTTGATGGTGGCACTCAGAGTATCCACTGTCCCTGAGACAATTCCAACGGCTGCCTCGAAGACCCCGGACACCCCATCGACGGGTAGTCTAGCTAAAGAGGACAGCATATCGAGTATGGCCTTGTCAAAGGAGGCGTGCAGCGTTTGCAGGTTTTTGATGATTGCTAGGGAGAAGTGTAAAGAGGAAGAAAAAAAGGAGGATAGGATTAGTTATAAAAAAATGCTATCAATAGTTCATTTTAATTTTGTTTCTGGATTTACTTTGTAACGCAAGAATCAGCATCGATGCCAGCGGAGAGCTTCCTGAAGAGGAGCTTGAACTCCCCAGAGCGGACACCTGAGCGATGGGACTCTTGAAGACGTCGGCGATCATGACGGCGGAAAGCAGCAGCAGCAAGCTGAAGCTGGCAACTCGAAAAACAGAAGTTTTGGCCATCTTTCTTTTTGTTTGAGTGATTTAGAAATTAAAAATGAATTGTTAGTTGGCTTGTTAGTTGGCTTGTTTTGCTGTGACTTTTTCAGGCAAAAACGATCGACTTTTTATACCCATTTTTGACGGCTCTCAATTTGAATCACTCAAAGCAGGGCTGATGGAAAACTCAATGCAAAAATTGATTTCAGGTGTTCAGATCTGTTTTTTCTTTTCTTTTTTAGATTGTTCTTTTGATAAATAGTGAAAAAACTTTTATTCTCTGTTTACTCTATTTAAAATTATGCAACTGCAATACTTGAAAAATGCAAATATTTAGCAGATGTTTTAACTGAAATTGATAAACTGTCACCTTCAGTGTGCAATAATAAAGTTCATTTATTGGACAAAAGGCAAATTGCAGCTGTTTGGTTTCTTCATGTGACATTAGGAAATAAAAACAAAAAGATTTTTGTTTAAAAAATGAAAATAAATGTATTTATTTTGATTGACAGTTGCAATAAACCTTTTCTAATTTGATAAAACTGTAGCATGTGTTTTTATTTATTTTAACCTTGCATTAAATTAAAATATTAAAAATGTTTTAAACTTGACCGAATGCGACTTTGATTCAGTTGTTTTCTTATTTAAATAAAATTTGGTATAATTGATCATTTTGCCCGATTCTAAAGAGTAATTCTTTTGTGATACATTCATTTTTACCGACACACCTTGTAGCAGTGTTGAAAAACTGACCAGACCAGACCAGCGCAGACATTGAAGAAGAGGTCACTGCAAGAAAACGAAGCTTAAGTGCTACAAATCAGTAGATCGGAAGCCGACGCCACTCGCCGAACTGACTGAACATCACAAACTGGCATGATAAGTGACAAACGCCTGCCGCAGAACGTCTTCTACTTCACAGGACAGTAGGACTAGCAAGCCCACGCAGTCCACAGAAACTATTCTACTTTACAGGTCGGCATGACTAGTGACAGCGCCCGCTACTGAACATCTTTGACTTTACAACTTTACAGGCGACCAGGAGAACGCCGTTTGCTGAATTGACCAACCTTAAAGGACGAAAGGATTAGTTAATCTGCGCCTTACCATTTGAACACCTTGACCAAACAATTGACCACCTCATCGCACCTCAACTGTAAATTGGAGCAGCGTTTTAATTTTTTACAACTGAACCGCTCAACGACATTGAAGCAACTTTGAAGTACTGAAGCCGACATTGAAAAAGTTGATTTTGCTTTAACCAAAGAACTGACTCGACTGAGTTGATCTGACAAGTCTTTGTATGCTTCAAGCACGATCTTTCTCTGCACTTCCAAGTTATGTCTCTTTCCTCCAAGCTTAATCATACAGAACACCATGATTGCGATCAATAAAAGGTCAAACAAACACATCCAAAATAACTAGTGGTGTAAGTAGCACAAGCGATAGCTCACAATGCAGCTATCACTTAATAGCACTAATAAGTAACTCTTTCTAGCAATGGCAAAACACAATAGTGCCTCAAACGAGCAGAATCAAAGAGGTCACTCACAAGCAAATAATGGCACTATTCTCCTTTTTAAGTTTTGACTGACACTGAAGGAGAGCAAACGCGCAAGAAAAAAGTACGACTTACAATAAATCCCGGGTATAGTGTAGTGTGACGTCGTTTTCCAACAGTGTCCGATTTGATCCTCCAAAATCACTCTCGTCAGTCAGGCGTCAGGTCAGTCTGGTTTCAATCGTCGGGTCAATTTCAAGGTGTCTTAATTGGGGAGCTGATAACGTAGTCATAGTCTCAATGACGGGCAAACTCAAAAGTTTGACGCTGCAATTGCGGGTGGTGACAAGTTGAATCGGTAGCAGTGGTCCGGTGATCCAAGTTGTCAAATTTGTCGTTTGTCAGATCAGCTCAGTCGAGTCAGCTTTTTGGTAAAAGCAAAGTTACCTTTTTCAATGTCAGCTTCAGTACTTCAAAGTTGCTCCAATGTCGTTGAGCGGTTCAGTTTTAGTATATACACAAACAAGCTACTGATTTTGAACTCTGAAAATCTACGTCGCTAGCATCCTATTCGCCGCTACTGTATTAAACAAACTAAAAAAC